TGAATATATTGATCTCTTAATTTATCAGGCGTATAGTCCAAAGTATCTGAGAGTAAAGCGTCAAAGGAAAACTAAGCAGGGTGCTGTTTGTGTGACACCATCTCTGTTCTCCATCCTGGCATGTTATCGATTCTGTGAACTATGGGACCGTCGTGTTTGGTTTCCAAACATGACGGGACAAATTATTCTTTTTTATATCCTGTCTCTCTCCAGCTAATCCTTCAGCCTGAGGATAGCAAGATCCTAAGACCTGTTGCAATATAAAAGTATCAAGGGAGAAGAGAGAAAGAATTTTATTTTATTTTATTTTATTTTTTTTAAAGATGTATTTTTCTTGATATTTGAGAAAGAACTTGTCAATATAAACTTCATCTAAAAGTATATATATATATATGTGTGTGTATGTGTGTATTTTGTAAGAAAAATATCTTAGTTATAGTGATGTGGGAATGACTTTAATTAAGCAACTTTTCATTATTCCCTTAGTAATTGCCTATCTATCGTTTGGATACAAGTTCAAGTTTTAATTAACGATCTCTTAGTATGTTTCTCCTAATTAACTTTGCTTACACATGTAGCAAAACTTGTTAAAACTGAATGATAAATAGTAAATTTATTCTATATTCTTAAATAAACTTCACAATTGAAGTATAGATATTTGTTAATTTATGTTACTTTAGTACATTGAAACTATGGAATATTGTGTGTTTGAATATTTATATAGTACATACAAAGAATATTTTAACTTTGAATAAACATTTAATATAAATATATTCTTGTAATGCTCAAGACTCGATTATATGTAAAAAAGGTGTATAAAAATGCTATAATTTTATAAATGAACTCATATAGAAAAAAATTAACGATTATAAAAGTCTTATAATTATGAAAATAACCGTGTACAATAGCCTTAAATCCCCAAAGTATGAAAAAAAATGCCTTAAAAATCCTAAATCGAAACGACTTTGATATACGATTTTGATACATTTCTTATTTAAATTAACTTATAAAATTGAAATCTTAATTATATTTCTGTGTATAAATAACTTTATATTATATAAAAGCTGCTTTATCCTCTTAAGCTATCGGAGGAAGTATCGACACGTCTTGTGATACGGACGGTTAGAGCAGATGTTGACAGAGTTGGTCGATTAGTGATTTCAGTAGCATCGAAAGCTACAGCTTAATCCTCCCATTGTCAGCAACTTGCCTTCAGTCGTGCGTACATCCGAAACCTTTTCATTCTCTGACAGCACAGATACTTTCTTTATCAGATTGATGTTCATTCTGCAACTAATCTCTCTTCTCTATCATCACGCTCATCTTAACAAACAATAACTAAAGTACAGTAGAACCTCGATTATCCGGACTAATTGGGGATGAAGGTAGTCCGGATAAGGAAAAATCCGGATAATCGAAACAAATACTTTAATTTGTCTTTTAATGATAATACACGTTTTCTTTTCGATGACATATCGGTAATATTAAAAATAAATACTGTATTTAAATCGTGATCAAATTTTCAAGAAACAAACGTTCGTATTGAATTTGGACTANGACTGTGGCCTATTTTTCGAACATGAGCCTCTGCCTAACTCATGAACGCGGACCTTGTTTACCCAGGTGATGTCCGAGCTGGTATCATACTTAGATCTGGTTATTGCCATGGAGATATTTATCATGGTATCCTACTACCATGATAAATATCTCCACAAAATGTGGGTGTGGTCACTGTTAGCTTCATTTCTCCCATTGACTTACTGGCATGGGTGTCCCTACCAGGAGCTTGTGCTCCAGCCTGCATTGCCCTATGGATCAGTAAAATTACTGAGTTCTCCCACCACGACCAGGTGGTGACCATGGGAGAGTTATTATTATTATTATTATTATTATTATTATTATTTATTTATTTTTTAAAAAAAGTTTTCTTATTTAATTCGTCTAACAAAGCTGGAGGAATTATTTAATGGAGAAATAATTTAAAAGAGGAATTATACAAGATAAACGAGATAAAATAATTGCTTTATATAATTATAAGCTTATATTTTGAGACAAATTTTAAAATTTTAGCGAGAAAAATAATTAAAATTTCAAATTTTTATGATGTTATAAAGAATAAAAAAAAGTATATTTTATCAGTAAATATGCCCTTGAAGAATGACTGATTTTTGCCCATTTTCGAAGAGAAAAATGTAGTTTAAAATTTATATATTCCAACGAGAGAACATAGAGATTTGCTTTCATATTATATTCATGCGAAACTGTTTCAAAGCTCGTTTTATATGTAATTTTTAAGATATAAGAAAAACTATATTTATGTACACTTCAATATTATACTTACTTAGATGTAAGAAAACAAAAATATTGTTATGTACTTTATTAACTCTTCCAATAATCGATGAAAGTAATTTTATTTCGTACAAAAATCAGAGATTTTTTTTTTACATTTTTTTTCTATAAAAGAAGATGAGAAATTGCATTTCTTTGAATATACAAAGTAGAATTCATCTTATCCATGATATTTGTCCAAGATATTGAACAAATATCATGACATGAACAAGAAGAACGTACACAGAAATCTTTTCGATTTTGAAAAATAAATAATGATTTTAAATATATATATATATATATATAAATTAATAAACGAGAAGATAAATAATGTATAATTGCTTATAGTATTTTTTTGTAAAGTAAAACTTTACAACAAATCGCATTTACAAACTCCATATCAAAGTATTGGACAATGTCACGAATGCTGCACATTGGAGTGATAAAAGCCTACTGAATTATGATGGATGGACGTTACCAAGCCAAATGTCTTTTTAAACAACTGTACTCCACCTGTTCTTTTGAAGGAAAAATGTGACACCATATTTACTGTTCTTCGACCTTACATATAGCACAAACACACACACAAAAAAAAAGAATTTAATGAGAGTTATACACAAACTCTGGTATACTTTATACAGCCATTCGTCCTAAAAATTCTCAATTAAACTGGAAAATGACGTGATGTAATTAATACTGATCGTGTCTTCAACCCAACTGATCTGTATCTCGAAAGGTTAAAGATGTAAGAAACGAAATATTCAAGCTAGAAAATCTAATAATCAGCAAAAAGAATTGAAAAATTTATTAATTTTTCTTATCAAATTTTATAAAATAATAATAATAATAAAAATAAAAAAGGAAACTGTTTCTTAGACTATTTTATTTTTTATTTTTTTCTAAAAACCACTTAATTATATCCTTAATTATCTAGTTTTAAATTTTAAAAATGGCTAAGAGGATGATTCTTTATACGTCTTGTACGAGTAGGTAATGAAGAGAGGAACAAAGAAGAGTCAATGCTCTGTTTCTTTTTTCACATAGAAAGAAAGGCAGCAAATAATGTAGCAAGGATGCGTTGTCAAGGAGATGGCAGACGGCGCCAAACGATGACATTTCTGTGGACTGAATACACCAGTCGATGAGGCTCAGAAGGTGGTCCGTGATGATTGTTGTCCATTAGTGCATAGAACGAGATACAGATTAAATTGTCTCTTGTAACGCCTCGCATTTGCTACAGAAACATCTCACACACGTGACTGTAAGACCATTCCTTTTAATAATTATATAAATATCTAACGTATAAACGTGAAAGAATAAAGGAAGAAAGTGGAAAATTTTATAATTNTAATGAGAGTTATACACAAACTCTGGTATACTTTATACAGCCATTCGTCCTAAAAATTCTCAATTAAACTGGAAAATGACGTGATGTAATTAATACTGATCGTGTCTTCAACCCAACTGATCTGTATCTCGAAAGGTTAAAGATGTAAGAAACGAAATATTCAAGCTAGAAAATCTAATAATCAGCAAAAAGAATTGAAAAATTTATTAATTTTTCTTATCAAATTTTATAAAATAATAATAAATATTATGATAATTTACAAAATATAATAAAAAAAGCATTTAATGGAAGTTATGACACTCAAATTTACTGAATTTTATCCCATTTCATGAACTATTAACCTATTCTTTCGAGTATTGTATATCTTACAGGCTTACTTCATACGACCTCTAAGTAAATGATCATGATTTTGTAACACTTAAAAATGTATTGTATTTTTTAAAATTTAATTCTATGCAAATTACCATTTTTCATTTTAAAATATATGCATTTTCCCAATTAGAAATTTCGCTGCTTTCGTTTCAAAGAAAGCATCGTCATTATAGAACAAGAGAAGATATTACGTCGACTTTAAATAAGGATTGAAGAGTGACGTCATCAGATAAGTCAATTTACATACAATCGATCCGATCCATCACGTGGTCGACAAGTTGGATAGGTGGATCTTCAACAATCGATCTACATTGATTTATGATGAGGATAAACATTCTCTTATTTTCTTCCTTTTTTCTAACTTAGTTACAATGCGAGAGATAACATTGACTTTCAGACTAACTTTACATTAAATTAGAATAGAATAGAATAAGATAAAAATTTATTATCGTGTCCTACATTATATATTATTTTTTATATTTTTTCCTTTGAATTTTATTTCTTAAAGGGTACAAATTGTAACAATCTCCTAAAGCAATTTAGCGAATTGCAAAAGTGTATTTTATCTCTGAGTAATACATCTTCGAGTTAGCCAATACTTAAATGTCTTTGCTATAGATTGTGATTGATTCTAGATCAGAAATATTCTCTAAAGTTTGGGTGAGATCCAACTGCCTTTCAAGAAACTTCTTTACGTCTTTACACAAGTTATACGTCTCCTCTTTTGCTATTTATCATGTAAAAAATTTTAAAAAAATGTGTTAGATGCTACAAAATATATATATATATATCTATATTTTTTTCCATTGTGTGTGTGTGTGTGCTTTTTGCATTTTTCTCAACTTTTTAAAATGGTCACGCGTGCATATCGATAGTTTTTTGATATAAAGAATAAAAAATTCTTGAAGGAACGTTGGATTTATATCATAAAAACAATGTTAGAGTGACTTACCATAAGATGCTAAGCAGCTGGAGAGGAAAAAGTCCGCATATATCCAGAGCAGGATCCATTGAAACACAATCGAAAAACACCGTACTCCTGATAAATTAAACACCATCATCTTTATTGTTTGCTTAACTTTTAACAATTGTTGTTGTTGTTCCACAATTGGGATAGCATGATGACGTTTTGATGTTAATAGTTACGCCGGCATTACCCTCGTCAAGTGCGAAACACCTCGATACCCGTTGCCTCTGGCAGTGTAATGCTTTCTCTGATGCTGCAATGGAACGGAGTGGAGGCTAATCACGTGGTACGACCATCACGTGACAGTGATGGCGAAGAGGAGAAGCCAAGAGATTCTTTAACACATCGGATCCCACCATCCTATTAAGCACGCGAAAATCGACACGCATTCAGAAATATATTCCACAATATATAATATATAATATATATATATAAACTTTTTAAAAAGAAAAAAAAATAATAAGGATATATATATATTAAATTATATAATTTCTCTAGTGAAAAATGCAATTTTCTTCTCGTTTTTATCGAGGATTGATGAGTTATAAATCGCATCTTCAGCACGAACGAGTATCATTCGATGTATTCTTTTCATACATCGTGCACTCTGCTTTGTTTATAACAGCGTATATACGGCAAATACTTTTAAACCAACGACTAGTCATAAAATGGCACTAAAAAGGAAAACATTCTTCCACTGACCCGGCTGCTATCCCCCCCAGTAATGTCAAAGAATTACAAAAGGCTGTCCCTTCAGAGACATACAATTTTGATGTAGCCACCTTTACTTTAAAGACATAGGATTAATAGTTTCACTTTCTCCTTTCCACTGGAAAGAATTGCGTATTCTCTTTAAGAGGATTCTGCGACAGAGAAATTCGTGTTCTTAGTAAGTACGTGCTTCCTTTGTAAGACATTCTTCGATAGTGGTTGAAGATTTATAAGTTATTTCTTTCTTCATGATCGGATGGTTAAACCGATCGAAAAAGTTTTGTGTTTGTTATAAGATCTTTACTCTAGATTATACATAAAGTTTCATAAACATTATAAAGCTGTTTTCTGTCCTATTTTAAATGTTTGCTGCTATTTTCTTTGATTTGAAAACGTTTTAAAAATAACAAACGATTTTTATAAAGTTTTAAAATATTACAGCAGAGAAAACAGTGGAAAATATTTTAAAATATGCTGATTAACTGATTAAATTGTGATGGATACTTTAGATTTTGGCTTCAATAAGCAACTGTTTAAGCAAGGAATATGCTTAAACAATGATTAAAATTTCATAAATTAAGCAAAGAATTTAGAGATCAAACAGGAGCAATGATGATAAAGCATTTACAAGCTGCTGTAATTATGTAAAAGTGGTCAAACTAGGAAAAATGTTTAAAGTTTCAGTTAATGTTTATCATCACGAAAGGAGATTAAGCAACGTAAACCAAAAACAAATTCACGTCACAATTCACAGAATTAAATATTTTTATCTTTAAATTCCCATTTAAATTTGTGTTTAAGCGATGATTTATTGAATTATACTTTCTAACATTTCTATTATTTTCTATCGTAGCAATTTCTACTTTCTTTCTACATCAAGTTAGCATGCAAAAGCGTCGCCATACCAATATTAAATGGAATGGTATAATGGCTCCATTCTTGTTTAGAGTATCGCCATTCTCTTCCAGATAGATAATTGAAGATGAGAGCGCTTCAGCTGAGATTGTTCACCTGGTAAATACAATTTAACAGGTGTTAACATTTCCAGTAGACGTTATATATGTTGGCGTGAAGCATTTCCGTGCAACAGCAGTTTCATTCATCACACCCATTTTATCAGATTAAACGATGGTCAATTGTCAGCCCACCAGGTATCCAAAAGTACATCAATGTGACGATTTCACCATAGAATCTTAGTAGAATCTTACAATTCTTCTTACTGAACAACTAGTTGTGTGTGTTTGTTCTTTCTTTGTTTGATGTTCACGGTCTTAATTGGTTCTATCCCAGCCTTCTTGTCTACTTTTTTGACAGGTCAAATTTGTTCAACGTGTCTCCACCAAAGTAACATTTCATTTATCAGAATAACAATGCATTTTATGTTTTTTTTTTCTCTCTCTCTACGTCTACGCCTAGGTTTTATTTAGTTTTAAGCCAGAAAAAAAGCACGTAAAAGTAATCAAATTAACAAAATCAATAATGCAATACTAAATATTCCTCTCGGCCATAACATTATCGAACAAATTATATGTTTACTGTACATCAAACAGCAATACTCCAACATAACATCCTCGTTAGTTTAGCAAGTACACACTCGGGACGTGTTAGGTATTGAAGTTGTTGATGATTTTCAAAACAAACTATTCTGCTTGGTATATATTGTACATTTAAACGTAATTTTACATTCAGGTAAGGTATAGGAACAAATAAAATCCCTGATACAATCTTCGAGTCTTTATCTAAGCTTAGAATCCACATAGAACGATAAATTTCTAGCTATCTTCTCTTCTCAACTTTGTCTCCTCATCACATTTTTCTTATTTACATTATAAACTCGTATATATATATATATATATATATATATATCCTCCATTATCTAGATATATTTAACCATTATAAACTTTTATCTGGCTTTAAAATGATATAATTATACAAAATTACACCAGCTTATATCGACGGTAATAAATTATAAAATTCATTCTCATCAATTAAAAAGATCATTTTAATAAAGAATTTTAAGTTTTCAATTGAAGAAATTTCAATCATTATCTTTAATAAAAGTTGAAATAATTAAGATTTAATTTTTCTAAAAGTAATTTTTGTCGAATAAACTTACATTATTCATTCTGTTTGACTTTTAAACCTTCGATTTTGTTCTCCAAAGACGTGCCAAGTAATTTAACAGGATTGGATAATTATTTAAAGACATATAAAATTAATTTTATTTCACAGATCTGGAAATCTTCCAAACTGTTAACTCGATTATTTATTTAAATGTAATGTAATGTTGTTATTTATTAAATCGGTAGCAAAATTAATTCATTTTTAAGAATCTGTAAAATTATATTAAGTAATTATTAAATATATTTTAAGAATATTTTATGAATAAAAATTCTTTTCAACTTCTTTTCTAATGTTTGGCTTAACTTCTTAAAACTGAAAAATTTTCTTTAATATTATTTCTTTTATTAATAGAAACAGAAATTACACCATTATTCAATTTACTTAAAATATATTTGATAATTAATCAGGAGAATTTATACGAAAATTTTCAAATATCCTAGGTGCCATTGCTTAAAAATTCATTTTTATTATACATTTTATTTTATTTATGTAAATTTTAAACTTATTTTTTATCAATTGATTTTTAGAAAATGATTTTTGAGGCCTTATTTTACAAATTTTTATACTCTTAAACGTGTTGTATGAATCAGAATTTATCTAGTTTCTTCATAAATAATACATTAATATTTTATGTTATATTAACATACACACACCAAAGTAAACATCTAATAATATACAGGCAAACATAGACTTATGTATACCCTATCACTACATATAAACATAGTTTATACACATATAAATGACATAGTAATATTTACATAACCACATACGTATGTATATATGTGTGTTGTATAAAACCATACATTGTATGTCAAAATAAATAATAAAAAGTATTCATTAAATGCATTAGAATATTTTAAATGCTGTAAATTTGATAAAATAATTTCTAATAAGCAAAGTTTTCGTTATTAAAATACACATTTACATATTATTTTAAGATAAATTCATAAATTATTAATGTATACATGTATATTATAGAATATTCTTAATATAGATGCTTAAATATTGCTTTATTTTCCTGTATATATACATGTAAAAGTACAAATATACATTAACATTACTACAAGCCAAAATATAAATTCAAATAATTATAAAAACAAACATAATATTCGAGATATTAATACTATTTTTTCGATATATATACGTTCCTTTTTCTTTAGATATAATATCTTTATAAGGCAATAAAAATAAAATTTATATATTATATATAAGAAAATTCTTATAAATATTTTAAAAAAGGAAAAAAAAATATATAATAATATAAAAATAGAAAAATAAGTTAAAAAACATGGAAAACAGGTTGTAAAAATGATACAATAAATAATATTTCAGAAAGAAGAATGATGTTATATTTGTCCAGCTGAATCAATATGAGTTGGTAATGTAGCATTTATCGTGTTTACGAAGGTTGCAGAGAATGTGGAAATTTTATTCCTATTTAAAGCTTCCAATGTTGCTTTTTACTCCCAAACATATTTCCTTTTATACTGCTCTATTCATGCAATAATAAACTTTAAATATATGCAATTTCTTTTCTTTATTTTTATTGTATACAAAATATTATTTTTTTTTCATATAAAATTAATTTATATTTAAGATAAATAAATAAATAAATAAATAAATAATTTGTTTTATTAATTAAATTAATTAAAAATTTCATGAAAAATCTAATCGATTTGAAAGTTGAAATTTTTCTTTTAATTATTTAAA